ATGAGAGTTGTGGAGGAGAGAGAGAGAGGAGGAGGACTTTGAAAATGGCGATGGCGGATAGGGAGAAGGTTGAATCGATGGAACTTCTTTCTGGGTGTCGGGGGTAATGATGGAAATCGATAAAAGAAGAGAAGTCCGTGAGGGCGACGCAACGCAGAGCTCTGATCGATGAAGAGAGAGAGAGAGAGAGAGAGAGAGAGAGAGAGAGAGTATCGGCGATGGAGTGAGAGTGTCGAGGGAAAAAGAAGGAGAGAAAGGGCGTCTTCACGAATGGGGTTTTTTTAATTTTTTCGGTCGCTACTATTCAATTAGACGCACCGCAAAAACGCATACGCGGGGCCGGATAACACGGTGAGTGGGACCCACATCGGACCGCAGGGATCCTGTAACCCGTTCGTTGGATTCCACGACCCACCCCCTGGCCAGATCTCCAACCGCGCTGAGCTGGACCTTAATAAAATCCCCCCGCCAAAAAGTCTATTTTCCTAACTACTCAAACCACTTTTCCACATAATTAACTAATTTTTAAATTCTTTGCTCTTTTTTAAAGGGTAAAATTGTTTGTCCTGTTTCTTTAATCAAATATTTTTTTATCCTTTTAAACGTGCATTAATAATAGAGTAATACGATTCACACACTCATTTTTATTTTTCACACCCTTATATCGAAAGATAGTCAATGATATGAGTATAACACCTTCAGGTATGGGATAAATTTCATATCCTAAGCCCTTGATGATGGTATAACATGAGAGAAGTTATTTTGCAAGTTAGACTCACTTTTCATTATGTGTTAGTAAATGCACGATATGTTTGGACGAGATTGATAACCCTAACCCTACCCATACTAAACATGTCTTGGTAACTTGTGAAGGAAGGAAAGGAAAATAATCTTACTTTTGAGATCCTACAACAAAGAAGCCAGGAAATCGTTTCCAAAAGAAAGCATTTCAGGTTCCTTACCTTCGGAAGGACACAAAGCTTAGCATAAAGGGTTTGTTAAAAATTTTACCAAGGAATAAAGTTGACTATCACGGGAGCGACTGCCGATTCCCGTTTCACCGATCCCATCGCCTCTTGGTTTTCTTCAGAATTGTGCAAGGATGACTCAGAATCTCATGGTTATGAACACTTGAGATCAATATGTTACATTCTCTCTACCATGAAGAGCGAAAAGTTTAACGCAAAAATCTAGTACTTTGCGGTAATTTTCCAACCTGCAAAGTTTTTCTTCCACAAGCAGAAAACTGCCAATTATCAGAAGGGATTATATGGAATCTATATCCTCCCAAACTGGAAGAATTACAGGGTATTGAATAATGATGAATAAAAGATGAAAGACAAGCGGACCGTGCATGTAGGCAATCAATCCTGTATCCATCTCTTGTATATACGGTATATCATCTGCGCGTGAAAATAAAGCATTCAAAAGAACGATCTTGTTCTCATTACATGTGTGAGTTCGGTCATGTTATCCTTAAGTTTTAAACACAAATAATTCTCAATAAAATTGCACAGACTAATTCAGATACGTTTTGGCTCAATAAAACTGGACACTGATCACTAAATAACGTAAAATGCTTATGAAGATTACAAGAAGTATGACTATATAATCAGAAATCTGAAACTCATGTATCAGGTAAGATGAATATATGTTGGTAGGAAATTGATTGAATGAACCAACCTCAACAACTATAGGTGAAGCATTCATGCCAGAGTCCAGTTGAACATACTCCATCGCATCAGGATTTGTCATTATAATGGTGGTCAAAATTGTAGGATGTTGGGCCCATCCGATCTTCACAAGTATATTAAAGCATCCCGCTTTCCATGAAAGGAAAGATCAGAACTGGCCCCAAGTTTTAGCAGCAGGACAATCAAGCAGAAGACCGCTTTGATCCTGTAAGATTTTTGCAAAGAACAGTCAGCGATGATTTAACTCGCAAAATTATAAAATGAAAAGTTTGAAGCCCTGAGCTGACGACGACTAGACTTGACCAAGAACTTTCTTATCCATCCCAACATAAGCTATCAAGTTTTAACTCAACACCCAACTAGACATACATCTTCAAATGTTAGTAGTCTGGTAAAAGTACACAAACTTCTTTGTCCAGCTTTCCATTGACCATAATTACCAAAAAGTCTTAATTGATACACAAAAACCTACAAAAGTATCACTCAAATTGTAATGGAGCATTGGTAGAAACACATACCTTCTAGAAAAGCAAACAACAGATTCCCATTTGCCACAAGCAGAAAACTGCCATTACCAGAATGGATTCTATGGATTTAGATCCAAGTAATTTCACTTGCATGCCAAAACGGCAAAACATGCTCAATGCACGGTCTGAGTATAAGGAGGATAACTCAAAACCCCTACTCAGCCACTTCTGGTAAACACCAAATGCCATGTCAGGCTCCTTAATTTAGCAGTACTTCTTGAAAAGTATACGATATGGAACATAATCGAGAGTTAAACCAGATTCCTGTATCTTCATAAAAAGCTCTTCTGCCTCCTTCATGTTACCTCTCACGCAGTGCCCTCTGATTAGTGCAGTGTAAGTAAACATATCTGGATCAAATCCTATTCTCAGCATTTCATCATATAACCAGACTGCAAAAAGAATGCGCCCTAATTTACAAGCAGCACCTATCAACAAATTACAAGTGACAACATCAGGACAAAGACCAGACATAAGCATTTCCTTTTTGAAAGCAAGACGCACGATCAATGTTTCCTCCTTTTACTTGTGCGTGGATCAATGCATTGTAAGTATACAAATTTGGTTGAACACCAGAAGAGAACATATGATCCCTGACAGAGAGTGCAGCACTAAGATCCCCATGTCTTCCATAACAATCGATAATACAATTCCATAGTAGTGGCTCAGGCACCATTGACTTCTCTAGCATACGAAGAAGAAACTTGTTAGCTCTGAAAACTTCTCCTTTAATACACAGGCCCTGAACAATTATTTTGTATGAAACTTCATTTGGAGTAACTCCCATTTTTGACATACTTCATGGACGTAGCAAGCCTCCTCTAATTTTCCTGCTTTGCAAAGACCGCTTATAAGTGTATTAAAAGTAATAACATTAGGAAGCAATCCTCTTTTGATCATTTCACAAAGGGAACCATAAGCAAGGTTCATGTCTCGACTCAAACAAAATCCATTGACGAGAACATTATATGCAACGACATCTACTTGGGCATTCATTTGGAGCATGTCATCCCAATTACGAAGTGCCTGAACCATATTTCCGTTTTTAAGATAACCATCCATAAGTGTAGTTGAGGTAACTAAATCTGATGCTGTCTTGTCATTATCATCGTCTAATATCTTGTTAAAAAGTATCTTCACATTCTCCATAAGACCTTTCTTGCACAATGCATGTACAAGTATGTTGTAGAGAAAAGATAAAGAGCTTTATCCACATCATCAAGAAGGCAATGTAGCGTAATTGGGAGGAGGGCCCATTTCTAACATCTCTCTAATTAGCCAATCTGCCTTCTCCAAGTGACCAGTTTTACAGTCCGTTTAAAAGATAATTGTGCATCAAAACATCAGGAACAAAGCCTTTCGTTATGATTTTTCTCTGAAGCCAAAAAGCTGTTCCCAACTTACCATCCATGCATAAAACCCTTAAGATAATTGAACAAACCCTTATGTAGTTAACTTTAGAAGCGCAACTTATAAAGCCTATCTCTGCCACTGATATGCTTTCCCTGCAATTTTTCACATAGTCAACAAAAGCTTGTAATGGAATATGACGTACAAAATATGTATCAAATCCTTGAGCACTAGTTCCCTAGTTATCAAACAAGATTGTGAATTTGATCCTAAAGATTACAAAGACCGAAAACTGACCTCATTGTTTTCAGACGTTCCAAACTGTCCTTCAACATTGCATCCAACGCATTGAAAACTGCGTACGGATCTTGTTCACCGTTGGAATTCTTCTTCTTTGAAAACCAACGTTGAGCACTCAAATGGTAATTCTCATCCCACTTTTTCATGAAATCTTCAAAAGTAGTTGGAAGTAGATCCTTTCCCCAACATTTCCAACATTTGAGAGCACCATATGGTTTCTAGTAATATCTAATACCCAGTGCATTAACTTCTTAATTTTCTTGTCCACTTTTCTACTCAGTTTTTTCTCGGCAACCAAACAGGAAATCAAGAACATAACTAGAAAATGGCAAGTAATAAAAGCATCTCCATCAAATCTTCAGGTTTTTTCTTCCTCTTTTCTACTCAATATTCTCGGCAACCAAACAGCCGACTATGAGTAAGACAAAAAACCGATGAGTTACTTGGCGTTGTTAGCCTGGCAGTACAAAATGTTGACAAAAATGCGAGCAATGTTGTGCATGATGGAGTCGAGGGTTCGATTCAAGCAACTCAGAAGGGCAATGTGGGACGGCGACGATTCTCCGCACGCAATGACAAGCTGCAAAACCTAAACAAACAATCAAATAAACAATTGTCGTTATAAAAACATATATATATATATACAAATTAAATTAGTGAAATATTAGGGATTGTGGACTGACTGCCATTGGAGCGTTCTGTGAAGAACTTGAAGGATTTTGAGGAAGGAGAAGAAGACGATGTGGGGAGTATTTTGTTCTGCAGCTTCTGCTGCTGCTTCTTCTTCTTCTTCCTTGACTCCGTTACTGACGGTTTGAGACTGAGGCTGGCTCTGCCTCGGATTGGTTTTCTCCTGAGGGGCGTTAACCTCCGGACGGCGTGAGTTTTTTGGAAGCGGATTCAAATGGCACATATTCTGTTGACGACTGAAGACCCCGAATGTACAGATCGGGGCGGGGCGGAGTGCCAACCAGGCTCGAATAATATGGGTCTCAATTCAGTATGGGCCTGAGATGTCAAAAGCCCAAATCTCATTGGAGCTTACTATTCTCCCCATGTTTTTTTTATGAGATAAATCTCAACTGCTCATTTGTAAAAATAAATGCAAATAAACAAAGACGATGCTAAATTAATATAAAGTAGAATATCATTGTAAAGAAATTAAGACCGTTTACAGATACCGAGAATCATGCTTTCGAATTCTCCTCTCCCAATATAAGTGTATAAAAAATCGAATATCGTTTATGAAGAGGAAGAAAGTATTTCGAAGTTTGTGAGATAGAGAATTCTGAAATTTTCCTAAATTCTCTATTTCCAACTGGATAAAGTGTTACATAGTTTATTTATTTATTTATTTATTATTATTATTATTTTATTTTCTTCTTCCCAGGTTTATCTCCTTTGCCCCCGTGGCTGTCTTCCTCCAAAATTTGCTCGTCTAGCAGCCGAGCCCCTGTCCTGGTTTTGGTGCCTACTACTGGCATTTCCAAACTTGAGAGGTACAACCGGCTTGATATATGCCATTCCGGGAAAGTTCCGTTTATCTTTCGGAAGCGACCGTAATTGCGGAAGCCAATATGCCACATACTCGCCATCAGGATCATAATTCTGCGCCTACAAAAGGCAAAAAATACAAATCTTCGGTACGATGCTTCCAAAACATAGTTGTTATAAAAATTTGTGAAGAACTTTGCACTGTGCAATTTGTCATTCAAAGTTGGGTCTTGTTTTAAGAAATTAAAAGGAGACAATGGATTAATGTACTTACTTGTTTCGGAATACTGAAGTAACGATCTTCTCTGGGGTCATTTCCAACACCTTAACAGGATGAACCAACGACGAAAATTTGGTTAGTAAACCTTCATTTCCAAGGTTAAGAGCATCCTTTGTTACTAGCTTATATAATCCTCCTCAACATCGTCAAAATTCCATATTCTTATTAAACAATCCCGAGTAAAAGTATTCTCCGTGACTTGCAGCTAAAGAAGAAAGTCGACATGGAGGCATACTTATGCTTTTCAGAGAAACATGCATACATTGAATTGAATAAAAAGATGAATGTGAAATCACCTGCGCCATAGGTCCAATTCCCATAATTGGAACAAGGGTCATAATCCAAAAGACATGTCTCGAACCATTCAGCTCCCATGCGCCAGTCAATGCCCATATCACGAACTAGAAAGGAACATACAATCTGTACAATAGTAGATGACATCGAGATCAATACAGGAAGTTTTATTCCGTTAATAGTGACAGTTTACTTTAGAATTACCTGCCTTCCTCGATTTGACATGAATCCAGTGGTTGACAGCTCTTTCATATTAGCGTCTATAAGTGGATACCTAGAGGTTTAACAAGTTCTGTATATCAACAACAGAGCGAGAACCAAACACCAGGAGAGAACAAGTTCTTGATTTAACATTTTTTAAGATTATAGAGGCTTAATTCTATAACCGTCGGGAAAAGTATTGTACCCCGTATGACCATCTCTCCAGGATTCAAATAAAGTCTTTTCCTGGCTCCATCTATGCTCCACCTTTCTCGGGCCACCTTTAAAGGGACCAAAGTTAAAAACACGACTACTAATGAAACAGAAGTAGCGAGAATTGAAATCTTTGCACTGATACGTCAAAATAAGTGGCTCCATGTGTGCTACACAGCAACAAACTTTTTCGGCCTCAAACTTTGGCATGATTGGAATATTATTCTTCGGCGTGACTGAATATTAAAGTAATCAAATAAGAATTTAATCCTTACCTAAATGGAAAAGGGAATTCCCGCATTTTGCTGATAGAAACCTGAAGTAATCCCTCCATATCAGTTCAAACAATACCCTGTCGGGTTGAACAAAGATTAAATCAACCGGATAAACAAAAGTGACAGTCCATTTCTCATCCAAATAACTGCATTCTAGTTCCTGGAAACCGAGGGAGAGATTGAGAATTACCAGTATGTGGAATCATTTGCTTCCCTTTCTTTTTCATACCTCTTTACCTTAAGAAATCAATTGGATACCATGCAAAATTAGTCTAACTTTGCTCAATGTCATGTCGTCATGTAATGAACGTAAGAAAATAATCAAGAATTTCAACCTCTTCATATATGAAACGGGGAGAAAGGCTTCCTGAAGCAAGCCATGGAGAAAATTTTGTTGAATAATCAGGTCCTAACATTCCGTTTCTGGTGTGTTTATATAGCTTTACCAAATCCTGCACGTGAACGTTCATGAGAATAAGATAGACGACCAAATTACTCTTACCAGTATTCCGTTATATTATGGAATGTGTTAAAATAAAGAGAAACTACATGGAAGTTTTTTGGAGCATCAATATGCATAACAAATGAATTTATCTTGCCTTCTTCCAGAAATACTCGTGCACTCTGCCCAATGCGGCACTTTCGCCCCCGACAAACTTCATTCCTTTACTTACCTACATCGAGATGGAGGGGGAGAACAGGGAAAAATGATCATTTTCAATTCTCAGAGTCTATATCAGACTATATGTAGCGCTGTAAGTATATATTGGAAATACTTACAATTGAAGATTGAAGTCCAAACTGATCTAATGAAGGAACACATCCCCAGTCTTCAACACTAGGGGGTGGACCAAGAGAAGCTGGAATTTTGATGCAGCCACGAACCGTGCATTTGGCTTCAACAGACTGCAAATTAGGTATCATCAACAAACACAGTGGAGAAAACCTCCCCCAGATATTGATTGAACCGAAACCAGCCAGAAAGCAATCTCCATACCTTGCGAAATTGAGTATACACGTCCGGTAGGCTGCTGGTATCAAAAGGGAGGTCCTCTATATGGTACATAGTGGTGCCCCAAATAAGTTGTAACCTAGGATTGTTTACAGAACCGGGCTTAGAGGATTGCACCGAAGATGATGGCAACACCACTCGTTGCAAACCTTTGCTGACCAATCTTTCGACATTTAGCTCCTCACTGCAAGTTTCTTTTTGGGCATATACCTAAATAGGATTAGATTACATACCAACACACTACTACTTTAATAAGTTGGAAAATCATAACAAGCTCATTATACTAATCAAATAGTGTGGAAATCACTTAACTGTGTGAGCTCCAAAAGCTTTTGCAAGATCAGGGAGAATCTCCTCGGGCTTCCCATGTTGAATGAGCAAGTTAAGACCCCGCTTCATTAAATTCTTCTTCAAGTCGGCCAAACACTCGATCAGAAACTGTGCTCTCAACGCTGCCAAACAACAACGTTTTCCAAATTCTCAGTTAGCAACGTTCTATGTCCCATTTAGATTATACAACACCAAAATAATCTAGGAAATTTGGAGGTAGACAAAACATCGAGAAAAAAAATTCAAGGCCCACTGTAACACCAACAATTATGAAAAACCAAACTAAAATGTGGAGAGATTTTTGCACATGACATTAACGCACATTGACACGTAATGTTACTAATCGCATGGTTAATATTCATCGACATAGACTATTATTAACTTTAAGCAACAGATGCACAATGTAACATAAGTGGATTAGTAACAACACATGTCGGTGTGACGATCACTGGAATTACTGTTGAAAAGTGTACGGATAATGTAAATTTCAACAAAACAAGAATGGTACCTCCAGTTTTGGGAAAGCCAAAGTAATGGGTAGAACCAAAAATCCTAGGATCAACACAATAGACAGCCAGAACCTCCTGGGACGAAACCCAAGCTTTGTAAAGAGCCTCATTGTCCAGCACTCTGAGGTCGTTCCTGAACCAAACGACGGCCACACCTCTGCCGTTTCTCTTGGCAGAGGAGGAAGCCGAGTACCTCTGCAGCGTTTGGTCCGCAACTTGCTCCATTTCCACCGGGTCCAGACCCGGAACCTGGGAGACCGGGGCGGGCGATTCGGGTTTGGAGCTGGAGGAGGAACTCATGGGTCGGAAAAGATCGAGTCTTTGGGTTGAAATCGTGGGTTTTGGATTTGGGAATAACGGGAGAATGATGAGCTTTTTCAGACGGTGGGGTGCGAGCGAGGAGTGAAGATATGCCATCTGCCATTGCCGAGTTTTGAGCTCAGGGGGAGAGAGTTTTGAGCAGTGGGGTTGCTGACACGTGTGCAGAGAGTTGGATTTGAAACGTGGAGGTTTGGAGGCCAAGGGAAGGAGAGAGACGCTGACTTCTTTTGCTTTCAAACCTACCGTTAGGTCCGTTATTGATGGCGGCAAACTAAATTCTACGGCAACATCCAGTGTCTTTTGCACCCCCATAACAGGGAGAGATTTTTTAGGGTAATCGAAACACGGATGATACATTATATGTCATTATACAAATAGTAAGATATATGTGTTAAAAAGTTAATGACTTAAATATTAAATTTTTTTATCACTTATATAAAAACATATGATATATCACGCATGTTCCGGTCACAATGAAAAATTTCTCCATAAAGGGGCCGGCTTAGAGACTCTGTATGGAACATAATAAATGGACCCTTGTATGAAAACTCCTGCTACAAAGCTAATTTATATGTTTATAGTTGTATTAATAAGGGATCGAAATCTAAATGGATTATTATTACTTGAGTTATAGTTCAAAGAAAAAAAAATAAAAATAAAATCTAGAGCAAAGCTGGCAAAACCAAACTAAAAACATAAAAGTGCCCCTTATGCATATGAAGATTATATTTCTCTTTTTCACATGCAGATCTTGAAAATTTCCCAATTATGAAGTTTTTTTTTTTTTTTTTTTTTTTTTTTTTTTTTAACCATAATCCAAGTTGATACATATGTAGAATTGTAGATGATATCATCCTTTAGGGGTCTTTAGAATATCCAAAATATTCAACTTAAAATGATAATTAGATAATAAATACAAAATTAATTGGGTTTACGTACAAGTTTATACCAAATATTAAGACAAAGCAATAAATTGCGCACGCACAAAAATTTGAAATATCCAAAACCTTGTAAAGTAAATGAATTTCCAAATTATGCTCTGAAAATTTTAAAATTTATCCGATTTCAAATATTCTAAATTAATTTTTTTAACCCGATCCAATATTTTTTGGAGGAGACAATCTGATCCAGGGGCGGCGGACTCAGCCAACGCTCACTAGGGGCAGCTGGCCTCGTTGAAGCTATGCGGAGAGGAAAAAACCATGACGCTTATGGAGGGGCTGAGAACATATTTGGCATATTATTCATACTCCAACTGAAAGATAAAGGAGAGTTAACGAGACTGTTGTTATCTAACGACCATCGAAGAAATGGTCGGGATTGGTAAGACGACCCTCGCTCGACTCCTTTACAACAATTGTGAAGTGAAACAGTAATTTGATCTTCGAGTTCGGGTTTATGCTTCTGAAGATTTCACTGCCACGAGGGTCACTAAAACCGTTATTGAGTCAGTAACGAAACATTGAAGAACTTGACAACCAGACTGCAGTGCGTAGGTGCCATGGCTTGCCTGTAATTGCAAAAGCACTTGGGGTCTCTTAAGGCACACTGTTTCTGAGGAATGGCATCACATATTAATATAGCAACTTTGGGAGCTACCCTCGATTGCTCGTGATCTCCCAATTTGCTTACTACAATACTTGAGGCACAAGGGAAGAAAATCACACAACATTGGCCACTCTACTAGGACAAAGGTAATCCAAGCTCACGAGTCAGCAGCCTTTGTTTTGCATTATTCTCTACGTATCTTAACTTGCTGACAAGATTCATCTGTAAAATCTTCCAAGATTTCTTGGAACTCTGTTCTTCGATTCATAGCATTCAACGTCAAATTCTTATCATCATCGTATTATTTTTGGCATCTTTGTAACTTATAAACCTGGTCTTGCATTTCTTCTGTTCTAGCACACTCAGCAGAGTGATTTCTACACTCCCTTTTTTCTTTTTTTTTTCAAGCCATTAGGTCGAATAAATCAAAGAAGAATCAAAGGGACATTAAGGAGAGGGGTGAAGAAGGTGAAAAGGGGAGTGCAGAAATTACTCCCCTAACACTTACTATACGTACACAAGGTTTGTTAACCCTATGTTTGGATGAGAGTCTTTCAAAGTACCGAAGAACTTTCGAGTCAATTGTTAAAAATGCCTTACAAGAGCACTAAAATGTACTCAAGCACTACAAATCGATTAACAAAACATTACAAATGCACTACAACACGAAACAAAGGACTTTCAAAATGTCATTTTAACGTAATCTCAGATGTAATGCAACAAGTCATTGTCAAGTCCCTCTATCCAAACCATCAGTAGTATACTTAAATAAAAAAGTAGTAATGAAAAAGAAAAGGAATACCTGTTGGTATTGTTCACTGTTCAGACCAGTAAATGAAAGGCTACCGATGATAGTTCTGTCCTTTCAGAATAGTCCACGACCTGAAGTCAACGGATAAGCATGCGTTATTTTCTTATTTGATGGTTTAAACCCATAGAAGCCAGCAGTACAAAGTATTCTTACCTATAAAGTTGTTCTACAAGAACAACTAATGCAATTTGATGGTTTAAAACCATAGAAGACAACTTGATACAAACATCAGCACGTTCTCGCAATTGTTTTCCATGGCCGTAAGGTCCACCGACGCAGAAGGATAGTCTTGAAGCTCCCTACAGAAAGGAAAGCAAAGTGTTACCTACAGGAAGAAGTTCCTAAGTTATTATACTCAACTTTACCTCTTCTTTTCAGCAACATAAATACATAAGAATGGAAGAATTCGAAAAATCATTCTTGAAAATACTAAATGAGAAATCATTCGTACTGTATTCCCTGCATCCCCCACCAACTCTGCCATCCTCTCCGACCCTATGTCTTTCCCACGCTCATCCAACAGCACCACCTACAAGCACAAGATTACAAAATGAAAATATAGAAACAAGTATAACATCTTTGAGCCTTTGATAATACAATTGAGTCTGCATAATGATCTAAGCAAGGGGTGTTCAGACTGTACCCAATCATCGGACCTTATCAGGTCCATGACAGCACTGTCTTCATGATCAACCTGAGCCTTCGAATCACTACACAAAAGGTAACTAATCTGAGCTGTAAACATAAGATATGATCCATAAACCCACAATGCAAACATTTCCTTCATATGTCCGATGTCCATAATTCCAGGAAAAAAGCCTCTACATATCTTAGAAAAACATGTATCTATTCAGGTTAAGTACAAAGATTATGATGACATAGATCAAATAAGAAGGCCAGTACTGTGCGTTTTTAGGGTTGTTCCGTATGTGAACATCATCAACGCTGCAGTAGAGCTTAAGCTTTTCAATGTACTCATCCACTACGAGTTGTACACCTTGGGATCTCTTCTTCCCTACTGATATTATGCGTATAGGAAGTGCTCTCTGCCCAAAATAAAAAAAAACTTAAAAATCAGAAAGAAAACCTAGTAACTAGAGGCCCAACAGGTGTCATGATCTGTTGCCAATTTATAATGCAAAACACAGAAGCCAATTGCTCAAAAGATTGACACAATCAAATGATAAAGCAAACTGATACTTCATTTCTAACACGATAAGTGGGTTCAACCAAACACAAACGTAAACCCAACTAACGAAGTACTAAAAAAGATTCGACAAAATCAAGATCATTGATCAAACTGATAAATCCTTGCTAAAACAATAGATGGATTGTGGGATCACAAAACTCAGACATAGATAGTTTGTTCAGGAGACAAAACCGATTGTTTTGCTATGCAACAAATTTAACTATGATAAACCCATTCTCGTTCTTTACATTTCTTCCCAGCTGCTTGGCCTGTGGTAGGTATCTGGTTCACCGCTTTGTATGCATAAATCAATACGTAAAAGTAAGTACGTTGTAAGAAAGACTGTAGTAAGAGCTGGAGAGACCTTACCACTGCTTGACCTGTGTATTTACAATCTCTACCTGAAAAGTTTAAGCAAAATCAAGTTCACAAATCGACAAAGTTTGAGATAAGATAACGATTAACGAAGAATATAAATGCAGCCACAAGGCTTTCGAGATAAAAATAACCTGAAGGAAGAGCAGAGGTAACGACTGTGGAGACGGGCACTAAGCATGACAACCATTTCAACTGAAAGAAAGACAAAGAATACTAATTGTGGCTCCAACAATTGTACAAAAACCACCATGACAATGAAAACACAAAAAAGGGACATTGCAATTGCATTACAAATTCTACAGAGAAATGTGAACATTTCCATAGTTTAGTCCATGCAATGATTCAAGGCAAAAAGGAGAGATAAAATCATGGCATCCTGCATTCATGCACAGATTCTACACATCTCAGGACCAAAATTTATCAAATAGCTGCAAGTAATTACTGTAGAATTCTTGGTAAAAAGTTAAAAACTAGCAATTGGGTATGGAAAATGCCAAATTTTGACACCAAATTCTTAGATAAAATACCAACCTTGAGCTTGAAAAATCCAACTGGGCAGTGCCCACCAGAAAGGGTCACCAACGGAACTAAAACACGGAAACTCTCTCTTCTCTCTCTCTCTCTCTCTCTCTCTCTCTCTCTCTCTCTAGCAATTCACGACGGCTTTTGAAGCAGAAGACGCAGAATCGAGTTTCTGGGTTGCTGATAGAACGAGAAGTGGAAAAGAACCTCTTCTGTTTTTTTGTTTTTTTTTTTTTTATTGATTGGATGGGTTGGAGGAGAATCGAGTTTCTGGGTTGCTGATAAAACGAGCAAGGAATGAGCATAAGAAGTGAGGCCCATTAATACCAATAGGCCCAAACTAATTGATACAGGCCCATACCAGTTTTCTGTGCAGGGGCTCGGTTGGGGAAGACTGGAGAGAAATCGCGGAGTTTCTGGAACATACTGCCCTGCATATATTTGCCGTATTCCATAGAATTTCGACGACCAATTTGATCAAATCAAAATGTCTGCGTTCGATAACGTGGTTGTGGGGAAGCTGAAGCTGAAAGGCAAAGCCTTGGACGTCAAAGGCGGTGCGATTTCAAAGAAAAAGAAGAAGAAGAAACAGAGCGCATTTTATCACCAATTGTTTGATGCCACCACAGGTAGGTTCTTGCCCTTCCATCTTTTTTATTTTAGTTTGTTATTATTGTTTCCTAAATCTAATGTGTAAAATATTCTGTAATCCGGAGAGCGGAATCGTGACAAATCGATATTTTAAACTACTCTAATTTATGGAGTGGAATGTTATTTTATGTTTTTGAATACCAAACAACCCCTCAACGGATTGGGATTTAAGATGTTGTGATTTCTTAGGGTTTAAGAGGTTGTGATTCTGGTTTTGCTAATGGAGAATTGAATTTTTTTTTTTTTGTGTTTGGAGGGTGATAGGTGGAGAAGCAGTGACAGATGATGCTGAGAACGAAGGCGGCATTGGCACGACGCAGGCTGCTGCTTCTGCTTATGGTCATCTGACACCGGCGGAGAGGCGGTACCTCGAGCAGGCAGAGAGGATTCAACGCCAGAGGCTTTCCCAGATTGCTCGAAAATCGCACCGCGATCGGGTTCAGGAATTCAATCAGTATCTGGCTAATCTGAGCGAGCATTATGACATTCCTAAAGTAGGCCCTGGTTAGCAACAGCATCGTGTTCTTCATTTTTGTCAATCAGGTGGATATAAAACTTTGTTATCCTGGAATCGGGTTCTATTGCTTGGGCCTCAAGAAAGTGTTAGTTTTTTTTTCGACCTATTTGCTTTATGAGTTCAAACTCTTGCCACTTTCTGTCAATGCAGATTAGTGTAGATTATCGCTTGATCTGAACAAGAAGCTAACTATGATCATTAGACCTTATGTTCAATAGAGTGAAAACATCACACAAAGGAAAAAACTATGAACACTTGTAACATGGATAATCTTAGAAAGGTAAGATGATGAGATGCACAGAAGTAACGTTGATATCACACATCCGTTTGCAGCGCTGAAGCGTTACATTTTACAGGGAGGACGGTTCTTGCCTACCGATAGTCTTTTCAGGTGGAACTACCGAGTCTTTGGAAAACAAATAGAGAGCCTTTAGAGCCCTTCCCCAACCTGACCTTGTCATCTATGTATGTAATCTGGAGTTTAACCTCGCTTTCACCGCCGTATCTGAAATCCAAGGCTCCAACCTTCAGTTCTGGGGGCTCAAATATAACTTGGATCCACTTATCATCCAGAGCCTTCAACTTTCCTGCTCATGCATATACGAGAAGTTAACACATGATGCAAAAAAGAAAAGAACAGTGCGTGAATCAAGTAGAATGTACGACAGTCTTACCAAAAGAGCAGCATAGGAAGCATGATAATATGACGGAAAAATTCAAGAAAAACTTGAGACAGTGGTTTTACGTTTACGCACAGAACCTCAGCAGCCTACCTGTTAAAGAGACTTCTCCATCCAAGAACCCGAAAACGGAGAAGGAGACTTTGTTCTTGACAATGTCAGGAGCTTCAATAACTTGAATCATCTCCTTGTTTTAAAAAAAAGACGCCCCAACGTACTTCTGTAGCCACCCCCGGGTGATGTTGGCACCGAGCAGTACACCACATCCCAGTCTGTGAAAGCACTAGATTAACTCATCATACGAGTCTATGACCACCAACAGGCAACAACAATAACAGAGAAATGCATATCATGTTTTTGTTAGCACTGAACAAAATGGTCGTACACGATTTCTGTAACGATTTGAGAGCTGGATAATCTGGTTTCGATGAAACTACTATGACTTAGGTGGAAGGCAATCCCTCGACGTGATGAAAAACATCAAGGCTTTATTCAAGGAATTGTGGTTGGTAAGAAAAGAAGGTATTCCTACGCAAAATTGAGGATGTGATGTACATCTCAAGAAATAAAGTTCACACCTTAACGGGATTTACCTCCGAAAATGAGAGGGCATTTCACTGGTTCGCTAACACAGTAGTTCTGCAATTCTTCAGCCTCCTTAGCTACCTCTTTTTGTTGTTCCTCTTTCAGCAGAACTCCTCTATCCGAATTCGTCACCTAATTATCATAATTCACATTTCATGAGCCAAGTATTCAAAAACTTTGCATATCTCCCCCTAATCAAACTGCAAATACTATCATATCAATCTACAAATATAAGCCTGAAAATTTTCCATGGCAAAAGCATGGAAACCGAGAAACTAATATCAATTTCAAAGCAAAGAAGCAATCGCAGAAGGTAAAGTACGAAATTTTCTAAGCTAAGTTACTGTCCCAATATCGGAATCTATGTAAACAACACATTTTCTCAGCTACCAAACAATAACTTACGAACCCAATATTACAAAAAAAGAAAAAACTAAAATATGGGATCACATTTTCTCAGCTACCAAACAACATATAACGAATCCAAAATCACAAAAAACAGAAAAAACACTAAAAGATAGGATCACATTTTTTCAGCAACCAAACAACAAATCACAAAAACATCAAAGTAAAACATGGGATCACATTTTCTCGGCTACCAAACAAAAATTCCGAATCCAAAACTAAATAAATTAGAAGCAAACTAAAATATGGGATGGGTGAAGGCCGTACCTTGGAAAGAATAGACGCAGAGAGCTCTTCGGGACCGGTACGAACTCCAGGATCGGAGACGGAAACAGAGGCCAATATTCTCAAAGTGTTGCGCCGACAACTGTGAGATTGGGGTGAAACAGTCAAAGCTAAATTTGTGGGCTTTGAGCAAAGGTTGAGGAATTTGGGTTTCGAGGGATCGGCGCCTCCTCTGAAGGTGAAGGCTGACAGGGCTAGTGATGAGGCTACGGCAGCGGCCATGGAAGGTAAGCTCTGAGCTTCGAATGGGGAAAATGGAGGAAGTGATTACACAGCTATCTCTTATCTGATGATGGGGGAGGTAGTGCCACGTAGGCAATGCGAATCGAGATGGGGCCGGTTTGGGTTTGGCTATTGGTGGGGGGTGATGCCACGTATGAGGGGTTTATTTCGTTGCCTTATCTAATTGGTCAGCGTTCCAACAATTTTTTATTTTCTTGGATTTGTAATTTTGTAGTGTATGTATATCCCGCCTTCTTGCTCTTTTTTGTTTTTTCTTTACTGAAAAAAAATCTCGCCTTCTTAAAAGAATGCATAATATCGTTTTGGGGAGGTACTTTCCTGTTTGGGTGTTTTCTTATTTCTGCACAAGTTAACACTTTATATTATTTTTTTATAGAGATAATAAGACAAAAATAATAAGAATATAAAATGTTGACGTGATTTAACCGTAACCGTACAAATAAGAGGAGATGGGAAGGACATCTAATCAGGAGGGCAGACAATCTGCCCTCCAATATTGTGTGCTTTTCTTGTACTAAAGTCAATCATATTCGTATAACCGCTATTATAGTAGCGTATAGTATGGCTAAGTTGATCTTATTTTCAATTTTATCAGTTATTGGTTTGAGGAGACTCCAAATTATTTTGAGGATGTTTTTCTTAAGAATTGTTTGATTATTTATTGATAAATAAAACCGCTATCATTTCTTATAAAAATGAAAAAAATTATTCATGTTGTGCTTGAGTTTGAGTTTTCGAATAAAACTTTAGTTCTTCTTTTATAAAAAAAAAAAGGCATGACATCTGATGAATTGGTTATATTTGGGTGTCAATATCATCATAATTCTATTTAGTTTTAGTAAGTGTTTAACTACGTTATAACATATATGATTTTGGTTTTTTGTTTTTGGAACAAGCGATATTATTATACTAAGAGAGTGAGAGAGTGGGCTAAATCTCACAATAAACGAGCCATAATAATGTGGTTCAAATTCGGCTTTGACAAAAATCGAATTTAAAACCTCTAACTTACTAATTGTTAGATTGAAGGGATAATGAATTAATTACTCAATTATGCTAAACTTTTAATGGAATTAGCACATGTAACTCCCAAACTACAACAATTAGCATTACATTCACCAACTACATGCACTAAAATCATAGTATGGATTCTGGCGTGAGCTTAAATCCATTGAGTAGTATTACCTACCAACTATCATCCCAATCGCTCACTACTTATTCATGTAACCCTCTACTTATTTATTTATGATACGTGAAATACCTCACTTGATTTCAGGCACTCTAAAAAATTTCTACGAGAATCGGTACCCCTAATTCGAGCATCTTCCAAAACATTGTGGTAAAGATTCTGATTGGTTCTGAGAAGGTAATGGAATGAAATTGACAATATCTCCGTACACATTTTTGGATAATATTTGACAATATTATAGATTTATGGAATGGACAGCTATAAGCTTTCCCTAATTTTACTTAACCCCTAATTAAAAAAAATAAAAATAATTTAATATTACGTGGGAAAGTTGCCATAATTCGCTGGCTGAAGTGTTCATCGCCCAAAAACCATCCAATTCCCTCAATTGTCCAGAACCAGAGATTCACACCCTCCCCCTTTTACCATACACTCACAAAGCCTCACATCGCCATTTCCCATCGCCTCATACTTCTCCCCACGCCGAATCCGCTTCCCCTCTGACAAGCTGAAACATCACCTGCACCTGCATTTGAAACAATTTTGACTGATTGAAGCTGATTTCCTCACCACACGC